CCGCCCCTGGCGCCCGCGGGCCCGCCCGCGACGAGGCGGGGGCCGCGCCGCCCGCGGCCGGCGCGGCCGACGGCGCCCATCCGCCGCCGGCGGCGGCGCGCTCCGCCCAGGCGCTCCGCGCGCTCGCGACCCGCTGCTGCACGTCCGACAGCGCCGCCTCCTCCTGATCCCGCTCCAGCTGCAGCTGCAGCAGCCGCCGCTCCGCCGCGCCGGCAGCTGCACCCGCTGCCGGCGCCGCCGCCGGCGCCGCCGCCGCCGCGCACCCCAGGGCGTCCCTCGACCCCGTGTGCCGCAGGTCGAACTCCCGCGCCCGCCCAACCGCCGTCGCGTCGCGCGTGCCGCCGGCGCCCTCCTGGGACGCGAGGACCTCGTCCCATATGCCTGCGATCTGGGGGCTCTCCTCCAGAAGCTGCCTGTGCTGCAGGCTCAGCTCGTGGAACTTGCTCTGCACCAGCCCCTTCTCGTCCGCGGCGCTCTGAAGCTTCAGCTGCAGCTCCTGCTGGCAGGCGGCGGCGCGGGCAGGAATGAGATATGAATTTCGCGGGGGCAAGCCTTCCAGGGTGCATGCACGCGCGGTGTGAGCGCGCGCGTCGCGTCTCGCCGCGGCGCTCGCACCTGGATCTGCTCCTCGAGCGGCGGGTTGCCGCCGCTTTCCCTGTACAACGAGAGCTCCGCTTCCAGCTTTGCAATCCGCTGCCTCAACATGCCGACGGTGTGCTCGTACTTCTCTATGTCCTGCTTGTACTTGCGCTCCCGCTTGACCCACGCGCTGGGGCCCATCTGGCCGCCCCTAGAGAAGCTGGCGCGAAGCTCCTCGAGCTCGAGCTGCACCGCCGACGGCGGCAAGGACGCGGCGGAGGCGGGTGCGGGCGCGCCGCCGGGGCCGTCGTGGGGCGGGGGCCCGCGGGCGGGGCCGGGGCCGGGGGCGGCGGCGGCGCTGTAGGCGGCGGCGCGGCTGGCGATGCTGCCTGGCCGCTGCTGCTGGGGCGCCTCAGCGCCGATCGCGGCGGGCTTCATCACACGAATCACCTGCAGAATCACACCAGCGAGCAGGCCGGCTTGGACGATGGGGCCGAAGGGCATACTGCCATTTCCTGACGCAAGCACAGCAGCGGCGCAGGCGGTGGTAGCGCGCACAGCACTGGGGAGCGGCACGAGTGCGAGAGCGCACCAGGTCATTGCTGGACTCATCGTTCATGTGACTGTTCCCAAGCGGCACGTCAAGTCCTGGGGACCGCCGAAGGTTGGCTGGCCCCTTGCTCACAAAACTCTCGCTGGAAGAAGCGGGCCCAGTAACCCCGCTCCTGCAGAGGCGCGGTGTGCTATACAGGCGCCTATTGATTCGCCATCACAAGGCAAAAGGCGGTGCGGTACGCGACGCGGAGGAAATCACAGTTGCGACAACCAGCCGCTCATTGAGGCCTGGTTGAAACAGTTATGCCACGGTGAAGTACTTCAAACACTCGTAATGTATGTTGACGCCAAGTAAGACGCAAGCTAGAGCGCTCTCAATGTTTCACACCCGCACCACTAGTGTGGTCGCAGTGCGAACGTCAGCATTTCTCGGGAAATCCCTCGCGACTTGAGAATGATCGCAATTAATCTTCAGAAAAACCAGTGGTCTGAGGTATCAGGCGCCCGATGCGCCTGGCCGGCGCCGTTGGCCCAGCCAACGCATGAAGCCGCCACGGGAAGGGGCAGCCCAACAGAGCGCGAACAGGGAACTACGTCTTTCCGCCTCAGCTTTTGCCAGTCTTGCAGCAATACAGCTCCGACAGTCTCCAGACCGCTTAGCCAATGATACCTTGTAGGGCCCTTGCGGCCACCGCTGACAAAGGGTCCAAGAAATCACGAGTTGTGTCGGAGGCTACCCGATGCGAGGCCCGCCGAGAAGTCCTTGCGGTACGCCTATACGGGCGTACCTGCTCTTGTGAAGGTTATGAATATTCTGTCGGCCCCAGGAGCCGCTGAGAGGATCCCCGCTTACACGATCCAGGCAAGCGGGGACCACGCACCCTGCCTACCGCGCCCGCACCGGGCTCGGCCCCGCGCCCTGCGG